CTGTCTGCCTCAAGGGCTAAACTTGGACGAGGTCAAAATAGAGCCAGCAAAACCCGGCGCTATGTCTGAAAACCCCAGCACTGTGTCCTAAAGTGTGCTGAAGTTATATCAGTTATGTCACTATAGCTATTTACCTACCTATATCTATCTATCTGTCTATCTAGACAGATAGATATTTAGATTGATACGTATGCAAATCAAAAATTATAATAACTGATGTAAGTTGAGATGCGAATGTCTGTACATTCATGCACATAGGCAAATTTATGTTGGTACTCGTGTTGTAGTGTTATGGGCACGAATCATCACGATCGCCCTGACCACTGAGCGTCTGGTAACAACATCAAAGAGCCCGTTTGACCCGCCTCCAGTGCATGTATAGCCACATCCCACTTGAGCAGGAACCTGTACCTGATGCATATCGCAGTAGCCCCCCTGCCTAGAAACGATTCTGATGTAGAGCGACAATAGGTAGGAACAGGGATGATGTGCGAAAGCCGTGTTACCATCTGGCGATGTAGAGTCAACGTAGAGTCCTTAATCCTTCAACTCTATGCAGAAATGGAGAACAAAATTCACAGATAGCAGCGTCAGGGGAGGGGGCCGTCATGTCAGCTCCGGGTGTGTACTTGTCACTACGCTAGCACTACTTTCCTCTGAAGCTGCAGCATAATGAAGAACCTGAGTCTGAAGCATTTGTTTTTTTGCAGACCCTGCCCAGCCGGTGCACCGCAGTAGCCCGCTGTCAGCCAGATCGAAGCGTCGTCGGCAATGAGCGTAGGACCACTTGTTCCCTGCGGAACACTTGGGCTGCAATTACCTACAGCACATTAGTCACATACCAGTAACCTAAATGTAACCTTTAAAGTAGCTACAGCATGCATCCAACAACGTGTTAAAGGAAATTTAACTCCTACGTCTTCTACTATACTACCACTACTACTACTACTACTACAAACTACTCTACTACTACTACTACTACTACTACTACTACTAACTACTACTACTACTACTACTACTACTACTACTACTACTAGTACTACTACTACTACTACTACTACTACTACTACTACTACTACTACTACTACTACTACTACTACTACTACTACTACTACTACTACTACTACTACTACTAGTACTACTACTACTACTACTACTACAACTACTACAACTACTACTACTTACTACTACTGCTACTACTACTACTACTACTACTACTACTACTACTACTACTACTACTACTACTTACTAACTACTACTAACTACTACTACTACTACTACTAACTACTACTACTACTACTACTACTACTACTACTACTACTACTACTACTACTACTACTACTCCTACTACTACTACTACTACTACTACTACTACTACTACTACTCCTGCTACTACTACTAGTACTGCTACTACTACTAGTACTGCTACTACTACTACTGCTGATAAGTAGCTGAGAATCCCTAGAGTCTAGAGGGAAGTCGTGCGGCAAGGCATGGGGCCAATATGGGTTTGTGAAGGTACACATAAGATCTTTTCTTCAATAACCGGGCCCAAAAACGGTCAAACTTTCGAATATAGGCCTTTAGGAAGGGCATGCAGCGTCCCATTTTCGGAGAGAGAGCAAGAGAGAGAGAGAGAGAGAGAGAGAGAGAGAGAGAGAGAGAGAGAGAGAGAGAGGGAGAGATTCTTGATACAATTCAAAACGAGCTGCTGGATGAAGGGGTTCTGGAATCTCTGCCGACAACCTTGAACTCATGCTCTGAAACCCATAATGCTAAAACCCGAACCCTAGTTCCTGAACCCATCCCATCAACTCTCCTGCATAAACGTGCCTTTCTGATCATACTCCATTGCCGTTCTTTTGATATGTTGGTTAACTCGTTTATATTGACGGTTAGGACCCTATGATTTAATGCTTGAAACCAGAGACACCCTGTCCAAAACGACAGCGTAAAACCCTAAACCCTAAACCCTGAACCCTGAAACTCAAACTCCAAACCCGACCTTCTCGTGGGAAGTCGACCCACTCGGGATGACCGAACTCATTGCCTGGGTTTGCTTTGGAGTTTAGGGTTTGCGTTTTTTTTTGTTAAGGGCCTTTTTCCGTCTGCATGATCCAGCGAAAGTCTCTTTTGAGACAGGCTCTTGAACTACCCACACCATGGATCAGGTAGGTCTTGATTTGTTACCTCCCGTAGTTTACTCATCGGTCACATTGAGGTTCGAGATATCATTCACTGCGAGGTCCTGAGTCTCCGTGTCAAGTACATACTGTGCCTCCATCAACTCTAACAGTCCTGTGCCCCCAATAGCGATCACGTCCTTATTGTCCAGGTTTCCTTTTTTCCACCTCATATACAGCACTTCGTAGTCCTGGAAGTCCAAAGCCGACATAGACCCTTCAAGGTTTGCGCTTGAGGATTTAGGGCCTTCATGGCCTGGGGTTTGGGCATTAGTCCAAGCATTTTGCAGGTGTCTACGTTTTTGGTTCCTACGTCTGGTAAGTTGGTGCATGCTCGTTTTTGACTCCGGTTGAACCCTGGTGAATTGGCACTGTCTGCATTCACTGTAGTCTCCGGATGCCTTGTAAATTGCAGCCCTGCTTTGCAAGGCAGCTGGTTCTCTCTCACCCAAACAGGGCCACTCTTCCCTGCTCCGCTACCTGCTCCTCCCCCTCCTACTTTCCTGCGACAACTACGACACTAGCAGCACGGGAGACGCAGGGGAATAGGAGGGGAGTAGCAGAGTAGCAAGGGAGTAGCAGGGGGAGTAGCAAGGGAGTAGCAAGGGAGTAGGAGGGGAGTAGCAGGGGAGTAACAGGGAGTGGCAAGGCAGTAGCAAGGAAGTAGCAAGAGAGTAGGAGGGGAGTAGCAAGGGAGTAGCAAGGGAGTAGCAAGGGAGTAGCAGGGGGAGTAGCAAGGGGGAGTAGCAAGGGAGTAGCAAGGGAGTAGCAAGGAAGTAGCAAGGGAGTAGCAGGGGAGTAGCAGGGGAGTAGCAGGGGAGTGGCAAGGGAGTAGCATGGGAGTAGCAAGGAAGTGGCAAGGGAGTGGCAAGGGAGTAGCAGGGAGTAGCAAGGGAGTGCAGGGGAGTAGCAGAGGAGTTGCAAGGGGGTAGCAAGGGAGTAGCAGCCGAGTAGCAGGGGAGTAGCAAGAGAGTAGCAAGGTGAGTGGCAGGAGTAGCAGTCGCAGGTGAGTAGCAGAGAAGTAGAGTAGCAGGGAGTAGAGTAGGAGGGAATAGCAGGGACTCCCTCCCTCCTCCCTCCCTCCATTCCCTCCCTGCCTCGATCCGGGAACGAGGCCGTGCAAATGATGCTCATCATACTTGCGTAGTGATGCTTCACTCATCCCCTAAGAGCAATCACTGGGGAGGAGGAAGTAAGGCCTTATTTGCTCCTCCCGAGCCCAAGCAAGACTGCATACATGATGACAGACCCAAAGTTTTAGGAACCTGAACAATCCCTTGATTTAGGGGCTAGGGTTTAGGGTTTAGGGTATACTTGGAGGTTCATGGGTAGTTAGAAGTAGGTTTATAGGTAGAGTAACTATACTTATTACCCCATATTAGGGGACTTACAACCCTACTTATAACTACCCTAAACCCTAAAACCCTAAACCCTAAATCCCTATGGAAGCCTTTAAAGGGACCCTTAAAGGAACCCTTATAACTACTAACTACCCATGAACCTCCAAGAAGGCTAGGAGGCTCCGGGCTGATGGTGGAAGGCTGTGGGAAGCTTTTGGGGGCTTTATAGATGTGGAACTCGGTGTAAGGGTTTAAAGTTTAGGGTTTACGGCTTAGGTTTAGGGTTTAGGGCTTAGGTTTAGGGTTTAAAGTTTAGGGTTTGGAGGGAAGAAGGTTAGCTCTGCTAGTTTGAGATGCTGAGGTTAATGCATCGGAGCTGGGCTTGACGCTCCAGAAAGTTGGAACACCAAGGGCCCTACGTATCAGGGCCTTTGGTGTACTCATTTAGAATATACTTTGAACGATTTGGGTACATCGCGTAGCGACAGCAATGATACCAACGCGAAAGGGAAGAAGAACGAAGCAAGAGTGTACTCCCACAACTTGCTCTAGTACTGTTGCGCTCATAGTAAAGATATGTAAGAGAATATCATAAACAAACACAGTGAACACAATCGGGTACATGGGCTCTGAAGGTAACTCAACCCTAAACCCTAAGCCTTAAACCCTAGACCCTAATGCTACCAACCCAAAAGTCCCGAAAGACCTACGCCGAGGCAGCGACCCATGAAGTTCAGATAGCCTGGCGACGGAGAGGGCGACGTTGGATTACGGACGGTGCACAGAAGAGGTTTAGGGTTTAGGGTAACAGCTGAATAAGATGCCTGCTCCTGAGCTATTTTCGAGAGGTGCAAGAGATTGGCCCGCACACCTCTTTTCAGGCTTCTTTCAGCTTGCAGCCTTCAATTACCCAGTGGGGCACTAGCTTGAGACAGACTTGCGATCAGAGCCTCAAGACGATCTTAATGTCTTCTACACTGCGAAGCTCCTGCCCGAAACCCAGTGCACTGAACCGTAAGAGCCTTCGAACTTCAGAAACCTTATAGTAAACCGCCTTAAAAACCCTAAGCCCTATACTATACCACAAGCCCTTGAACCTTGAGTGGGCCTTCGAACTTCAGAGGGCTTAAGGGGAACTCCAGAAAGTTGGAATATGGTTTCATGATAGGATACCCTATAATTTACCATAGAAGGGTTAGGTTGATCATATTCCAACTTTCTGGCTTTTACCTTACTTTGCAAAGAGCAAGATTGGCCTTCCCCGCCCAGTCCGAGCGTGAGCAGCCGGATGATCCTGGGATGCTTTCTCTCGTGATTTCTCATTTCTCATCTAGCCCCAAAAGAACGAACGTGTACATAAAGGTAGCATTATTGACTAAAATGTATCTATGCATAAATATTTTGTATACACAAACATATATATATATATATATACATGCTCATGTACCACACAAAACATTCGCGACCCAAGTGATAGTCCTGAATGCAAAGTTTTTTTTGCAACACAAGTCGAGGCCCTCCCAGATCCGCTCTCTGGGGCTTCTTTTGAGCGCCACACCCCTAAACCCTAAACCCTATTTAGAAGGGCAGGGGACTTAGTAAGTAGGTTATAAGTAGGGTCATAATTGGGGTGACTCCATTTAGGGTACTTGTAACTCTACTTATAACCTACTTACTAAGTCCCATGATCCTCTAAGTAGACCCTAAACCCTAAACCCCATAGATCCCTTTGGGATCCCTTTAAGGAGCCCTTTAAGAGCCCTTACTAAGTCCCCTGCCCTTCCAAGTATCTCAAATAAACCCGAGACCGTGCCGGGCCTTGGGGTTGAGGGTTTCGGGTCCAGGGTTAGGGTTTAGGGCTTAGGGCTCAGAGTTTAGGGTTTAGGGTTTAGGGTTTAGGGCTTAGGGTTTAGGGTTTAGGGTTTAGGGTTTAGGGTTTAGGGCTTACCTTAACCCCAAATAACCTACCTTTTTAAGGACTTATATAAAGAAATCATATTAGGGAACCCTAAAAAGGTAGGTTCCTTAGGGTCCAGGTAGGGCTTAGAGTTTAGGGTTTAGGCAAGTATTTGCCTGAAAAAATTTAGGGTTTATGGCTCCGGGGGGTGGCTGTAAAAATTATGGTCTCTTTTGGGGTCCCCCTAAATCTTAGGTGTCGTATTATATTAAGGGCCCAAGAAGGGACCATAATTTTCACAACCACCCGGGGACTTCTAGACTTCTCGACTGAAAGATCTGACCCCGAAGCGATAAACACAGCAGAACTTCTGCTCTAAACACCCAAACTAACCAGTGGTTTTGGGGCTTCCCTTGGCTCTTCAGCTCCTTATCTACTAGGGATTCTCATCATCCCTGGCTCCTTAGCTCCTCCAATATCAATGGTTAGGAAAGCCCTAATTACGCCCCATACAGCTCTAGACTGTAAAGCCTGGGCCTAGACCCTTCGAGCCCCAAACCACTACGTCACAGCGCAGTATTGCTCTGCCGCCACGGGGCATGTGCATCGCCATGCCACGCGAAACCACGACAGAGCCAGGAGTGCCATCATCGCCCATGCCTGCTTCTACTATAGCAGTACTTCGGGGCTGTGGAGTCCGCTGTTAGTCGCATCAGCACGAGGAGGAGCATCGACGTGGTGGTAGCAGTAGCAGTGGCAGTAGCAGCAGCAGTGTAAGCCGGTGCACGTCCCCAAAATTCTGAGGTTTTTCTGACCTGTTGGCTTAGGCCCAACAACCCCTAAGCCCAAACCAGCAAGCTTCACGATGCAAGTAGGTGGTTGTCAAACTTAGGGTCCCTCTCTGGGTCCCTAGTACAATACGGCACCTATTCTTTAGGGTAGAATAGGGTTTTGGGGCTCAGTATGCTATATTTATAATGAAGAATCCCCAAAATAGTGTTGATACTGATCCATGCCCCTATAGTACCCCAAAAAGGGACCTTAATTTTCACAACTACCCATACCAATATCCCTTAATTAAGGAATGTAGTGTACCTTAAATCATATTCAGGATCCTACTCTAAGTGTATCCAGAAAGTGACCTTAATTTTGACAACTACCCAAGTTGACAAGGACTGGGAACCGATCGAGTCCTCGACAAAAGGAGCCCGACCGCCACCTTGAACTTACCTTTGGTTAGTAGGGAGTGAAAGGGGCCTTATAAAGGGGTCTATAAAGGGTTATTATAAGGGATCTATAGGGGTACTATAATATAGGGGCCTTAATAATCCTATAGCTTACCTTGGGTAAGTAGGGAATGGAGGAATGGGGTACAATTATAACTACTATTACTGCCATTCTTCCATTCCCTACTAACCAAAGGTAAAGATCCCTTTAAAGGAACCCTAAACCCCTATAGATCCCTTTAAAGGAAGCCTGTAGATCCCTTTAAAGGAGCCCTATTCCCTACTAACCAAAGGAAAGTGGAATCACATGCAGGAGCCGGTCAAGAAACGAACGCGACAACGAACCACTGGTTTTGGGGGGCTCCCTTGGCTCTGTAGCTCCTTACAATGAACCCCAGAAAGTTGGAACATCGGTTTAGGATGATTGGTGCTAGGATCCCCTATACCTTACCTTAGGGGCATGAGGGTCTCAATGTTCCAACTTTCTGGCTTCTACTGTATGCAATAGGGACTATCATATACTATGATCATCCCTGGCTCCTTAGCTCCTCCAATACCAACGGAGGAAGACAAGACGAATGTAGACTTCGTGGGGCTTAGGGCGCAGGGCTTAAGGCCGACACCTTAAGCCTTGAAGTCTTTACACTTGAGGTTCCCAAATGTAGGGTTTCTTTATAAGGAATTACTATTATGATCCAGGGAAGTATCCCCCATAACACTACATAGGACCCTTTGGGGTTGCAAGGTCTAAGAAGAGAGGTGAGGGTGGTGCTTTCAAAAACTCCTCACGCTAAAGCCTTAACCCCCTAAACCCAAATTCCTTAACGCTAGCATCCGAGGTCGTCGTACGGGTCCTCTTCGAAGCTTCACAGGTAATGGCCCAACCCTCACGAGTTCCATCTGTCGCGGTTGTAACTAGGGTCATCGCTGGAATGCATGGTTCTCACCATACGAGCCCTCCTAAACCCTGCACCCGAAACCCCTTGAGCATGTCCTCGACCCTTTCTCGATCCCTTGCCTGTGTACATCTCGGCGTCCATGAGCCAGAACGCGATGGTCCTTTGCTGAGGTTTCTGGCATAGAGGGCCAAGGCCGGGCCGCTTGAGGCTCCGGCTTGAAGGCATACAGGTCTGGGGCTGTTGGGCTGACGGGCAAGGGGGATTGGGGGGGGTCAGATTTGCCCCCACAAACGGAAGTTGCTGATTGTCGAGGCTCGGAGATAAGAGCATCTCTTCTGCACTCTGCTGGTTGACTTGATGTGTGACCTTCCGGTCCAGCATGCAGTGTGTGTCGGATTTTGAAATTTTGCAATTCGGCCTTCAGACCAGACTCCAAAACCTCAAACCACTCGTGCGTTGACAGCATGTTATCAGCTTCGTGGCTGGGGTTGAGCAGAATCCTGGACAAACCAATGTAAAGGTGCTTGTGCAACAAAACCGACTGTAGACTCCCCTAAAGCTGTAAAGCCTACATGCCCTATATAGTAAGACCTCATAACCTTACCGACACCTCAAGACCCTCGTCGCCAAATCCGTGCTGAGGATCTTGTCTCCCACGATGGACTGGTCATGGCTCTCGGCATAGGCCTTGCCGTTCTAGGGTTGAAGGTCTGGGGATTTTGGGGATTGGATGTGTTATGAGCTTAAGATGGAACTTGTTAAATAAGATTTAGGGTATAAAGTTCACGACCTCAGTATAGCAATTTGCGGGCTGCACTGCAGGCAGGGTGCAACCGTCTTCTCGCGCCCTCTTCGGCGATTGCACATCGCCTTGCAAGTCAGGGGTTGCTCTGTGGCCCTATCGTAACCAGCTTTTCGCAAGTCCATCTCCTTTCTCCCCTTAAGGGTGAGGTTAAGACCCTGCCCAAGAAGTCTTTTGTAGTAAGTAGTAAATACCTATAATGTGCACTCTGAATGCTTTCCGGGCTTCAGGGAACAACTCAGAACACTGAGGCTAGACCCGTATAGGCATTTTGGTATATTGTCCTTGCTCTGTTGACTTCCACCACATAGGGCGATAGATGTGCTGCAAGAAAACACGTCGAATAGCAACCAAGTATCCTGCCTACGCAAACTCCGCTTGGAAACACGACTTGCATAAATCCTACTTAAAGGATCATGGGACTTAGTATGTAAGGTTATAAGTAGGTTATAATTAGGATAACCCCACTTAGGGGACTTATAACCCCAATTATAACCTACTTGCTAAGTCCCATGATCCTCTAAGTAACCCTTCAGCTTCAAAACCAAAATCGTCAGCTTTCAGGTTATGAAGTCTGGACCGGAGGGCTTAAGATGGGGCTGAAGAGTGCAGGGCGCTGCAGCCCGGCGAGTCAACATAGTTGCAACCAAAGAGAGATGTGTTCGCGGGGGGGGGGGGGGCGCGAGGGGGAGCGTTTAGGGTTAAAGGATTCGGGGTTATGGCTTTATGTATGGGCTGAACAAGTCGGAGAGTTTGGGGAGAATAGGCTGCAATCGTCGAGGTGCAAGATGACAGCACTAAATGCAACTGCAGGGTACTTAGACTTCTCTATACATATATACATGTATACATGTATATATATATATATATATGTATATGTATACACGGTATGCAGATCACCTGAAACTCGAACCCCACAACCCAAACCGTCACAAATGCGCGGTGCCAAATACACAGGACACGTGACCCTAAAAGGCCCAGGGGCCGAGAAGCCTGAGCCCTTGGATACTTCGGTTGATGGTATAAATCCTGCATTACCCATAATAGGGAATATTTATATGGGAATTATGGTATATTCCTTATTATGGGTCATGCAGGATTTATATCATCAACCGTTCTGTCTTGAGCCGCGCGGCCGAGATAATGTGGTTCATTCCCCAGTGCGCGTCCTTGACATCCTGCGCCGGGAAGCCAAATCCCTAAGGGTCCAAGTAATCCCTATTTATGGTTTTTGGTACCTAAAAAGGCCCTAAAGTCCCATAATAGGGAGTACTTGGACCCTCTGGGAATGGTAGTGGGCGTGGGATTTTCACCATCGGCAGCAGGAACCCGAATCTAGACGGCAACTCCGTTTGCTGAAGCCCATTTTGGTTTCCTATGTTGCCGCCTTAAGGTTAGGTGAAAAAGCCTTACCACACTGGGGGTTTTAGCTGTCGGGCGAAAGCATTATCATTAAAGGCTTGGGGTTGAGGGTTCAGGGATTCAGGCAAGGGCTCAAGGGTGTCGGGGCTTTAAGAGTATTAGGGCCCCAAAACAGCACATAAGCAAAAATAAGAATAGGGATATCCAATATGAAACCCCTTATAATGAAGCCCAATAAGGTAGGGAGACCCCTATAAAATGCTTATGCTTATGTGCTCTATGGGTCCCTCAAAATGTAGTTTAGTTTTCGGTTTAATTCTGGTTGTGTGTTAACAACGCTGTACCCACAGACCCTGGTTGATTGCGAGCATTGCGGTCAGCTTACCTATCTAACCGTATATTCGGAGCTTCAGAAAATGTGGTATGCTGGAGCAAAGAGCGCGGTCTGCGTTATAAGGACCTTGGAAGAAAGTACCCCTAGATGCGTTGGGCAGGCTTTCGGTTGTCCTTGAGAAGAGAAATCCACATGTCCTGACGACGGAAGGATTAAGGCTACGGGTTTAGGGTTCAGGATTTAGGGTTTGGGGTTAGGCTTTGTGGCTACTACTATGTCCGTCACCTGCCGGAACCTTCGCTTTCGTAGGGCAGGGTTTAGGGTTTAGGGCCCCTATAGATTCCTTATGAGGGCTTACACTGGGCTCTCAGGCTACCTGGCTGTCCAGTTTGCATGCCTAACCCCTACCTGGACCCCACCGGTATGTAGAACACTAGCCTCTGATGGGTGCTGGGCCAAAAATGACCCTGAACCCTAAGACTATCATTCTACCTACTTTCGGGGGGTCGGGTAAATCCTGAAACCTATTACTTGAGACATGGAGATGCCCATACGTGACAAGGACTCGAAGACGCTTCAGCTTTATGGTGAAAGCTTGTAGGGTATATAGGTTTCAGGGTTTGGGGTTTGGGGTTCAGGGTCATTAAAGAAGGTTTTGTGAAGTGACATACATGATACCGCAACTATGTAAGGGTCTTAACGGATCTGATGCTGCAAAAAAAGACACACGCCAAGCAGAACTCCCAAAAAGGTAGCACTATGTTTCGGAACACAGTCGAATCTGCATTGCTGAAAGTTTCACTGATTCTTGAAGCTCGGGTGCCATGCTGCTTCTCAAGCTGGCATCTCAAGTGATGCCAAGTTTCTGGGAGGGACATGGCAAGACGATAGTCGAAGCCGATGCCACCTTCGAAACGAGACACGGGCTTAAAGGGAACTCCAGAAAGTTGGAATATGGATTAATGGTAGGATCCCCTATAATTTACCTTAAAGGGGTTACGATAATGATATTCCAACTTTCTGGCTTCTACTGTAGGGCTGGGCTAATCGGCTCAAGGTTCGTGTTTTTGTTTCTATAGGGCTCTTTAAAGGGATCTATAGAGCTAGGTTGCTGCTTCCTACACCCTGAACCGTAAACTCTGAGCCACAAAGTGCCGCCGTGGCATTGTCGGGTTGCTTCAGCTGCGCTCAAGAACTCCCCAGGAAGGCTTCTCAGCCCAGTTCGAGGTTAGGAATTGTGTTGAGCCACGGCGGCCTACTATTTTGGAAGGGTTCCGCTGGTACAAGCGCTCTCTCTCTCTCTCTCTCTCTCTCTCTCTCTCTCTCTCTGTGTATCTACATATATGTATATATGTGGTTATGAATATCAGTAACTACATGTGTGTTTATACATGTGTATATGAATTCATACATGTGTGTATATGATACATCTAAGTTGATATTGGAAGATTTGCATTCGAAGTCGGCTCCAGCGGTTCCGTTTCTAGCAGCCCCAAAAGAGGCTCCACAGCATGAACCCTTCAAGGCACATGGCTGAAGGTTTAGGGTTGTCCCTAATAACAGAGACCGTTCCATCTACAGCGAGCCCCGGAAAGTTGGAACATGGACCGAGGATGATTAGTGCCCCTACCATAACTCTAAACAGAAAGCACCAAACCGATAACAAGAAGCGAGCTCCGCAACAACCAGTTTTTAGAGCTCTGGGGACTACGGGGGAACCCTGCACCCAAAGAAACCCTGAGCAAGCAAGCACCGACGCAAAATCTCCAGGGTTAGGCTTCATGGCTTTAACTTTAGGGCTTAGAGTTTTGTGTGTAGGGTTTGGGCTTAGGACTTTGGGCTGGGGTAACCCATAAGCCAAGAGCCTTCAGCGACGGGCACACACAAGCCAGGCATGCCGGAAACATCCTCCGGGTTTGCAGGGTCATGTCCCCATTGGCTACCCCAGGTTGCAGCCGTCAAAATTAGAATAGGGTTTACTGCGAGTTTGATAAGGTAACCGATTATTCAAGGGCTACGAGGCATCCGAACTAGCAGTCAAACGCTCTAGCCTGCTTCTTTTAAGTTGCATCTTGTTCGTGGGGGGTGATTGCAGTACACACACACGCACACACGAATCCATGTATGAATGTGCGTGTGTGTATATATATATATGTGTGGATATGTGTAGATGTGCATGTATGTATGTATGCATGTATGCATGCGTATGTATGTGTGTATGTATGTGCTTGTATATACATACAGACGATTTTCCTTTCAAGACCTTGCAGGTGTTCCCAGCTCCTCAAAGTGCGCTGTTAACTTCCGAGCTCTCGGTTTTCAAGCTCCACACTAATGCGACCCGCAACAATCCCCGCATCCCGGCTCCTCCGCGATCATCACAGCATCTGGTCGCACGCCTTGTTTGCAGCTTGCCACTGGGGCCCGCAGTGTTTGGGATTAAGGCTAAACCCTAAACCCTAAACCATGAGCCAAGCCAAGCCCTAGCACCTAAGCCGTAGGCAATCAGGACCTCCCCCTAAACCCTGAATCCTCACCTACCCAAAGGGTCCTAAGTACCTGTATGGTAGAATGTAGGGTTTCTATATAAGGAATTACTATTCTGATCCAGGGAAGTACATAGGACCCTTTGGGCTAATGCAGGAACCTGTTCAAGAAACCCTGGCCCGATACGACCAAAATATTCGGATCCATCTGGAGACCCTGTTCTTGACCCAAGGTTTCTGAATCAGGTTCCATTTTTGGGAGTTTCCGAAAATGGGGGAGCCTAATATGGTACCCTAAATAGTAAAATAGTAGGATCCTTGTTAGCAGAACCCCAGAATAAGGTACCCCGAGTTTCCGGAAACTCCCAAACCTTAAACCCTTTTTAGAACCCTTATAGATCCCTTTGAGGAACCCCTTAAAGGATCGCTTTAAAGGTACCCCTAGTTTCCGGAAACTCCCATATTTAGGTACCCCAAAAGGCACATAAGCATGAGCATTTTATGGGCATATCCCTACCTTATTGGGCTTCATTATGAGGGGGTTTAATATGGAACATCCCTATCCTAATTTTTGCTTATGTGCTTTTCTGGGGCCCTAATATTTGGCTGCGGCCGAAGGCTCTTCTTACCAGCTCACTTGCCAACATCAGGTAGACCACCGCATCCACATCCGTGGACATTCCGAAGTACTCCTCGCGGTTTAGGGTTGAGGGTGTAGGGTTCAGGGTTTAGGGGCATGCTGATGCGAGGAGTGCGGAGGGAAAAGGCCTTCTGACACATAGGGGGCAGCACTGGAAACCAAAGTCATGCCGGGCGACAAGGTTCGTAGTCAACTGGGCGGGTACACACGGCATGGCAGACGTGGTGTTGTCGCCACTTCCATCGCCAACATCATCTTCTTCAGCATTATGACTCATGACTGTCATTGTCGTCTTCATCATCATCCGTATCGTCACAACCATCAGCAACATCATCATCAGCATCATCAGTTGCTGCATCGCCAGCATCCGCGCCGTCGTCGCCGGGTCAAGGTACAGCAGCAAATGCTATAGCGGCCTTCATAATTACCTTTACTTTTTTGGGGGGTGCCCTATTATGATTATAGTATAATGGTCTCCAAAACCCAAGTCTAATTGTTAAGTTAAGGCCCCTCTAGTACGGTCCCTCGCTTGCGCTGCTCATCCAGTCCTCGTAGTTGCCGGTGAAGCCTCGGAGCTCTAAGTGCGAGTTGCAGTGAGAGTTTTCAAAAAATTAACTTGTAAGCCCTAAACCCTAAACCTCAAACCCCTAGCCATAAACCCTAAACCCCGAAATCAAAACCTTCAACCCTAAACCCCAAACCCTACAAACCCCTAAACCGCCTTGAGGGGTTTTGGGTTCTGGAGCTTAAGCTTAGGAATTGGGTTCGCGTGCTGGGGTCTGCTGATACCTGAGCTTCATTTTTTCAGACCCCTGGTATAGCGGCCCTTGTAAACAGGCACATTGAAAGGGATCCCGAAGAAATAGGAGCCTTATTCGTCCTACTTGTCCGGTATATTGGGTAGCTGAAGGTTAACCTTTGCGTTTATGTAGGAATTACAACACCCGCAGAAAGGTAAAAGGTTACCTAGCCTTCGGTTAGGGAGAAAGGTTTAGAGCTAAGGGCAAAGGCTGGACTCAAGCCCCCACTGCCCAAAGTCATGATGCGCAGCAAAAGCCCGAATAAGGAGGACGTTTAGAGTTTAGCGCTTGGGTTAGAGCTTCGGGGGTAATTAGTGCGTGCGATGTCCATGGGTAGGTTTTTTATCTACTATAGGCGCCAGAACAATTAGCAGTAGTCTTCCTGCGTGGTCCTTATAATGAGGGTACTGCAATTTACACCGGAACCGGTATAGGGTCCGTGCTTTAAGGGAGTAAGACGTCAGAGAACCCTAAACCAAAAAAGGGCAGAACCACCACGAAGCCCGGAAACTACATCTTAGACCGTTGGCCGTGAGCCCGAAACTCGAAAGTGACGGAGCACAAGTAAGGAACCTTGATCCACGGTTTGGGGTTTAGGATTTGGGGTGACGAGCTGCTCATGTAAAGGCCGTGGTGGTGGTACAACATCGATGTCACACCGTCGAAGCGGAATCCGTCACAGTTGTACTCCTGAGCAGATTCTGACTGACTCTAAGCAGGGCTTATGGGTTTTGGGTCTCAGGGTCAGTGTAACCTTAAGAGGCTCCTCTCAGGGTTTTACTGCAGAGCTTTATCAGTGTGGAGCTTTAGGGCTTAAAGGGTTTAGGCATTCGGCTTTGAGGGGTTCTTCTGCAGCCACCGAAGATTCAAGATGGGATGCTAGGACTTCTTGCGGACCATCCAGCAGCCGGCCAACATCCGATCCACCAAACCCAACAACCCTAAACCCCTAGACACCCAACCCCTAAATCCTAAACCCTAAGCCCCTAAACACTAAAAGCCTAAAAGCCTAAACCCTACACCCCTAAACCCCTAAACCCCTTGAACCCTAACCCCTCATCCGTAAACCTTTCAGCAAGCCCCAAGCCGGAGACACCAATGCCAGAAGCTATGGAAGAAGCCCAAAACCTACTTGTCGGGTATCATGGGGAACTATTGGTTAACCTTTGTGGTGATTTAGGGACTATACCACCCAAACAAGGTGAAGGGACTTACAACCCTACTTAATGACTCCCCATGAACCTCCAAGTAGGCCCTAAACCCTATACCCTTCTGGAATCCCTATAGATCCTTTTAAAAGGACCCTTAAAGGAACCCTCAGGACACTGAATCCCAACGAAGACTGGCTCCTCCAGCCACCATCGTAGGTTGGAGAGAAGATACCTGCTTGCTCTGAGCCGGGCAGTCCGATGTGGGAGCTTCCGAAACTTAGGGGTATATACCTTAATCTGGGGTCCTTGCAATAAGGATCCTACTCTAGATATTTGGGTACTATACTAGTGTCCCCTATTTTTCGGAAACTCCCATATGCCTCTTGAGGAGTAAGGGCTACAGTTGGCCAAAGGGCGGTCGGGGAGATTGGGGACTCTGCCGAAGACGAGAGTTTTACCTAGACTCAAGAGTATCCTAGAAATAAAAAGGGCGCCCTTTTTGGTTTAAAGGGGCTTATACGGGAACCTGAACCCCCCCAAAAAAAGGGAATAAGGGCCTACTCTAGGTCCCGGTTACCGAGGCAACTCCTGCCGGAGCCCTGTTTTCTTCACCGCGGAGCTCCGAAGCTCCCTTGGACCTTAGCCCAAGGGTCCAAAGGGGTTTGGGGTTTAGGGTTTAGGGACCCAATAATCAGGTAAACGGTTTTAGGATAGTAGTTACGTAGGTTAGGATTTGGGAGAGTGTATGATTTTGGGGTACTTGGACCCTTGGGGTGACTGATGATAAGGAAAACGATAAAGAAGGTTTAAGGGGTTTAGGGTTTAGGTCTTAACGACAGCAGCGCGCACTACGCTAACCCCTACCGCCACCCTAAAAACCCTGAACCCTCCACCGCAGTCCAGCCCCCAAGGCCTCAAGACCTCGTAGTTCTTGTAGCAGTAGAGGCCTCGGCGCTGGGAGGCATCACTTCATCTTGGGCGACATCTCGGGGTCTTTCGGCTTTAAGGGGTTTCCTCCACAGCGCCCCCAAGGCGGTTCATTGATTCCAAGGGTTCCATAAGGCTGGGGGTCTTCATCTACCCGAACGCCCGAAGGAATGGTATTACTGATGAACTGAACAGCGACACAAAACGCCCAAGATGGATACCGGTTTCGGCATCTGGCATCTGAAGGAACTACACAGCACGAACACTATCCTCTTTACAGAAAATGCTACCGAGGTTATATGCATGCATGTATCTATATATGTATACATATACATATACATACACATACATATACATATATACATATATACATATATGTACACACAGATACATACAGGTGTCAGGTTGGGGCCTAGTTTTGGCGCTTGTAGCTTAGTCTTTAGAGTTAGGAGTTTGCGACAGAGGTTCAGGGAATAATACGTAGTCCCCAAACTTAAATTCTACACCCTAAACCCTGAACTCTATGCCCTAAACCCTAAGCCATGAACCGTAAACCCTAAACCTCCAAATCTCTTGAGACGTCAGGGACTGCAGTTGAACCCGGAAGCCTGATAAGCAATGCTTCAGATACCGCTATACACTGTAACCTTGAAGCTCAGGGGTGACTCGGGCTTAGGGTTTGGATACTATATTATGTTTAAACTAGTGGTATACACCGTAACCTTGAAGCTTAAGGGTGAGAGCATTCGCGGTAAGCAATAGAAACCATACGCTCGGGGTTTAGGGTTTGGGGTTTAGGGTTTTAGACTATTAGAACTATTGGTAGAAGAATTCTGGCATTTGTAGTGTCCCTGGGCTGCAAAGTTCTCGGACCACAGACCAAAAAGCCCACAACCGCTAAAGCAGCTGAATGGCGTGAGTCCCAAAGCTTGTGGTAGCCTCGCTCACCGGTCATGAAGTACCTGAAGTTAGCTTCAGGTATACGGCTTCGAGTGAGGGCGTCCACAAGGTAAACTTGACCTTTCTACCGGATTTAAAACCCACACCCTAAACCTAATTCCTAAACCCTGATACGAATTTAGCTAGTTTGTTGCGAGACTGCAGAGAATGATCTAGCACTCTCTTGCTCGGGGTTGATCTTGTGGTCCGGTAATTTCTGCACCTGCCATGCATAAAAATCCCTGAGGAGGTCCCAAACCTTGTTCAATGTCCTCAAATCCCGAAACCCTGCGTCGTCCTAAACGCTGTATCCCTATATACAAAACCCTAAACCTTAAACCCTGAACCTTAAACCCAAGCCCTGCTTACCGAATTAAGCCCTAAACCCTACGAAACCCTAAACCCTACTAATAAACCCTAAACCTTAACCCTAAACCTTAAACCCTAAACCCTAAACCCTACTAAACCCTAAACCTTAAACCTTAAACCCTAAGCCCTAAACCCTAAAAGAGCTCAAGGTTTGGGGGAGTCTCAGGATCGTTGCTCCGAAAAAGCCCCAAAGCCATGGTGCGACTCGCTTTCGGCTTGGCCGAAATCCATGCCTTAGGCTTTCGGCTGCCGGGTTCAGGGATTAGGGTTTTGGGTTTTGAAGGTTTTTAGGGTTTAGGGTTTTTAGGGATTATGGATCAAGGTATTAGGGTTTGGGGTTTTAAGGGTTTTTAGGGTGTAGAGTTTAAGGGTTTAGGGATTAAGGGATTAGGGTCAGGGTTTGCAGGAATTGAGAGTTTAGGGTTTAAGGGTTTAGGGATTAAGGGATTAAGGGATTAGAGGTTGAGGATAAACAGGGGTTTAGGGTTTGGGTGATTGGGGCTGAGGGATAAGGACAGTCTTAAACCCTACCGTGAATTGCCAAAACCTACAGACTCGAGATTGTAGATTCTATGTTAGGGTTTGTAGTAATAACCTACACAAACATATCCTTTTCGCATGTGGGCGAAGGCGCATGATCCTTTCAGTCAAGGTTGCTGGGTAATTAGTCGGGTTTCTGCGTGGAGCCCAGGGCATATCTGGACACCATAAACTATGCTGGGCTTTGAAGTAACCAGGGGAAAAAGTAGAGACTTGTATTTCATATTCGGTTCCCTTTAAGAAACAGGTCCAAAAATAAATATTCAAGCATGGTACTCCGAAGCCCAGCATGATATCCTAATACAAGTCCTAGGATGTTTGAAGTTAGAAGGAGCAGAGGGTGTAGGTATAGACAGTTTACCGTAACCTGCCAAAACCTACTTTTTGTAGGGTCCCTATAAATTCCATATTAGGGTTTATAAGAACAACCTACAGAAAAAGTAGGGTTTGGTAGTTGAAGGTCGGGTGTGTTGAAGCTTGGGGCCTAAGGAGCCGGGATTTTGTGGTTGCGGCAGTCTCATCCAGGGCTTCGGCAGGCATGGGCCGATTCAAGTAGAAAGCCTGACTAATCTGAGCGAGATTAAACCCTAAACGTTGAAGTGAAAAATCGATTATACTAGTCCGGCATTAAACCATAAACCCCGAAACCTACACTGTTCGAAATCAAAACCCCAACTTACAGCCTAACGCCCTGACCCTCAAAATCCAAAGGCCCGAAACAGAGCCGCGCGACCATTGAGCCCATCGTCGGCGTTGTTGGAAACATGGGAGTGGACGAGGTCGATGAGCCTCGACGCGGCGGATTTAGAGATTTGAGGGCCTATAGTAGTTACAAGTAGGGTGATAAGAAGGGTAACTATACTTATAATTATAACCCATATTAGGGGACTTATCACCCGACTTATAACTACCCTAAACCCTAAAACCCTAAACCCTAAACCCTAAATCCCTATGGAAGCCTTTAAAGGGACCCTTAAAGGAACCCTTATAACCCGACTTATAACTACCCATGAACCTCTAAGCAACCCCTGGGTCTGAGCAGTTGAAGCTTCGGAGAATCGGATTCAACTCCGTCGTGCGTGGGATGAAGAGGCTCAGGTACAGGTTTAGGGGTTTCGGGGTTAGGGGTTTAGGGGTTTAGGGTTTAGGGCTTTAGGGGTTTAGGGGTTTAGGGTTTAGGGGTTTAGGGTTTAACGTTTAGGGTCTAGGGGTTTAGGGTGTAAGGCTCCTGAGTTTAGGTCGAGGCGTCTGGATCCAAAGTACATATCCAGTAATTAGGCACAGGTTTCTGGGATCGTAAACCTTAGGGTTTAGGGTTTAGGGTTTACTCACAAAAAATGCAAAAGAAACCTCCTGCAAAACCCTGAGCCTCCTGGCAAGCCCCATACCTTTTTAGGACCCATATAAGGAAATCATATGAAGGAACCCTAAAAAGGTGGGTTTCTTAGGGTCCAGGCCCAGGCCCCATCCCATGGTACCCGCCGAGGTAAGGATCCCTTTAAAGGAACCCTGAACCCCTTTAGATCCCTTTAAAGGAACCCTATGCCCTACTAGCCAACGGTAAGATGACCCGCCGAGGTGCACCAGCATGCCCAGGCGGTGCGCCTCTTCGACCAAGGCCTGATATGGGAGTTCTTATCAAACACATGGGTGGAAGGGCAGGGGACTTAGTAAGTAGGTTATAAATAGAGTTATAAGTACACTAAATGGAGTTACCCTAATTATAACCCTACTTATAACCAACTTACTAAGTCCCCTGCCCTTCCAAGTGGGTGCTTTAAAAGGGATATACAAGAGTTGCTATGAGGGCTTCTAGAAAGGGTATTTTGAGGTTTAGGGTTTACGGTTCAGGGTTTGGGGTCTCTAGTCTAGAAGCCTTATAATGGGTGGTTGTCAAAACTAGGGCCCCTTTTTTGCGTACCCTATGTAAATATAAGGTGCCGTACTATAATAGGGACCCGAAAAGGGACCATCATTTTGACAACCATCCACATAGAACACTCAGAGGCTCCGTACATACGATTATTCGTATTTATTATTAGTATTATATACTATTATCATGGAAGTGGGTCCCCTGAAGCCATTGTAGGGATAGTCTTCCGGGACTGCATTCCATAATGGTACTGGAACGTAGCATACACGGACACTGTGGGTCATAGTTTGAGGAGGGTTAATTTAAAGGGCCCTTTACTAGTCAATCCAATTAAAGCTTACTATAAGGGCTTAGTGTACATAATTACAGGTTTGCTAGCTATTAAACAGGACTTTGTTTGGGGCGGGGTATATTACACCAGAAACCCGGGGCCGATGGCACATTCACGCGCAAGATTCGCGTTTGTCATCCAGTCAGATAAGCCTGGCCCGCGTAGGATGAAAGACAGACTACATCCATACAGTAACAGTCTATAATGGGGCTACTATTAAGGGCCTTATATATCTATATTATGAATATTATGCAACTGTTACTGAGTGGGGGCCGTACCCAAAGACTACACCCAAAAGGTCAGGGAGCCCAGTTCTCCCTGTCACCAGGGAACATGGGAGATTCAGAAAATAGGGGACCCTAATATAGTACGCTAAATGGTAGGATCCGTATGATGAGGGCCCCGAAATAAGGTACCCCTAATGTCGGAAACTCCCATATATGACCCCGAATCTGATCTGAAGGGGGTTCCTCAGCCTTCGTACAGTAATTACAGGCACTCTGAGGACCCTACAGAAGGCTATAAACAATTTGGAACCCACTGTGTATCTGCAGACGCGTCTGAAACCCCAAACAGAGAACCTGGTTCATGGTTGGGATCGGATTAAAAATTTACATTTTTCCTTATTGGGTTTAAGTACCCATAAACATGTAAAATGTTACCCAACTATGACAAAGGAACCCTGCAGCGCAGCTTTAACACTTCGCTCTTGGAAGCCCAGTGCCGTGAACCCTTGTGCCTTGAACTCGTCCGGCGTGCCCGAGCGCGAAGACACGGCGAAGGGCGAGGTGACGTGGTATCCGAAGGAGCCTACAGAAATTGGAGATCAGGGGATAGACTCAAGGGTTTAGGGCTAGCTTGAAGGTAGGTGTATATAAGGAGTTTATGGCTCTGGAACCGTGGTCTCTAACGCCATTGTTGATCAGTATTGTCTGTCTGAAGATTTGCCTCTCCATTCGTGGTCGTTCTGGCTTGTGTCATGTTTGCATTCGGGTTGCAAGCATTGCTGGTATTCCATAGCAGCAGCATCGGCATCCATTAACAAACTGATCTGCTTAAGAAGCCAACGCTCAAGCTCCGGAAATACATATCTGCCGCTGCTACCAGCCAAGTGACCATAGTAGGAGTGCTCCATGATAGCCATCAGCTGCACCTGAAATGGGGAGTCGGCGTGAGAGACTAATGTCTGAAGCGGCAGCAACCATACCATACCTCTGTGGAACACACTGCCACCCACAGGCGGGGCGGGGCCGACCATAAAGACCACGGCCCCACTCCGCAAGGCGGGGAGGGGAAACAAGACCACCCAGGAAGACGGGGAAAGCAACAAGGCCAAACAAGACGACTACACACTTGACAGGCAAGCGGGGGATACCATGGGCTGGGGGGGGGGGGGGGGGGGGGGGGGGGGTGCAGCAGCCGCGCATTATACACATATATATATATATATATATATACAGTCAGAGTGACACTGTCCCGACGTCAGCTTGTTGTATGTGAGTATCAACTATATATAAAGGCCTGTGTTTTTCTAACCAAATTTAAACAGTTGAATGACAAGTTACATAAATTAACAAAAACAGGTGGTTTAGTACGAAAAACACAGGCCTGTATTCCGACGCACTCTCTCTCTCTCTCTATACATATATATATATATATATATATATATATATATATATATAGATATATAGATATATTATGAACACAGTAGCTACGCTTCCATGTAGCTACGACTTCAAACAAAGATGTGATAACTTGACAAGCAACTTCTACAAAATGTCAGCCCATAGAAATCTAATGAGGGCCCGTGGAGTAAAGCTGCTTCTCTTGTCCGAGGGACGCAGTTGTAGCCAGCCTCCTTGATGCGAGGCAACACATCCTTCGCGAACTCGAGGTAGCTGTTGCCTAGGTTGGCCCTGCAAGACCACAATATTTCTAAATCAGATCCTCCTAAGCCCAATAAGGAAAGTACAAAATCTGCCAGAGCCTTTCCTAGTTGCACTTGGGCTCGGTGGAGGACATGCCCACGTGGGCCTCGTAGATGCCTCAACAGCGGGCTGAAGCTTTCGGATTTAGCGCTTAAGCTTTTGGGTTCAGGGCTTGGCTTAGATTTGCGCGAAATATTGAGGCTTTTGGTTTAGCCGTACCTAGATGCTGAGTTCAGAAATTGTCTTGGTAGCCTATATCTTATGGCTAACGAGCAAACCATTCGGGATACAAAACTGGAGCTGCATTCAAGGCCTCATATGACCTAAGTCTAGTTAAGCCTTTTGCTACATTGGCTACAGTTTGGGACTAAGAAAGTTGGGCTCGGGAACCTGTCTACCACCGGTGTCTACCACCGGTACTTGAGTGTATTTGCAATTCGGGTATAGCATAATCATAGAAGGAACATGGAAGGGATCAAGACTTCCAATGGCGTCCCATAAGTCAACTTTGAACAAGCCCGAAACCCTGTACTTACAGTACAACCCTTCACCTTAAACCCTGTAAGCCTATCACCCTACGACCTTAAATCCCATATCCCTAAACCCTATCAGCCCAAACCGTGTTCCTTACACCTGAACATCTTCCAAGGCTGCTCCCAAAACGTCAGCAGCCGATATTCCAAGGGTAACAGGAGGGACCCTTAACCAGGAATATACCCTTAATATAGCTCTTATATACCCATTATATAGCCCATTACAGGGTAGGGGTCCCCATGAATGGTCTCTCCTTTTCCTCTTTGAGATATCCAAGCCCAAGTTTAGGGCCAAGGGTTTAGGGTATAAAACTTCACTAGGACTTACGTTTCATGGTATTGCGAGTAATAGGCCGAAAGGGCCTGGAAGAAGTTCAACGTAACTTGCAACCTGTCAACGAATCCGGGGTCCCACAACCCCCGACCGCGTTCGCAATCAGGCAATCACACCATATAATTACCCTAAGCCCTAGACCCAACGCCCGAAACCATGAAAGCCGCGAGCACCCCAAACCGTGAAAGCCACACCTGGCCTTGCGAGCTCTAAACTCTGGACACTCACCAAGCCGTAGGTAGTGAACACTAGAAAAATGCCAAGCCACAAACCGCCAGCCCTAAAGAAATCCTGCAGCCGTACTGTAAATCTTAGACCCTATAAACATCCAAAGCACAAACCACCACACCCTCTATGCCCGCCTCATAACCAAACCTACAGACGCGAAAGCCCGAAGTCCTAAAGCACGATATCCTGAGCGCCCCTCGTCCCTGCATTGGGGCTTGGAAACCCACAAAAGAAGCAATTCGGGGTCTGAGTAACACTTGGTGTACATACTCACCGAAATTCCTTCCTTTCTACACTCACCAAAGCTCTGGGACGAATCCTCCTCTCTTGAATCCCTTACATCCGCAACGAAGATCTTTCAAGTCCTCACTAGAGACCTGACGCCTTGTGGAACTCCAAAGACCGAGAGACCCGAAACTCCTAAACTCAAAGCTAGACTTCAGACCCTGAGCCCCTTGTAATATTCTTAGGGTTTAGGGTGTATAAAGCGTTCAGGGAATAGGGTGTGGGCTTTAGGATCTCGGACCCTGAACCCTAAACTACTTCTAGATCCCTTCTAGGATCCTGAAAGTATCTGAGGAACCCTTACAATCGTACAGAAACAGCCGAGAAACGAAGTGTGCTTGGCAGCGATGGGCGTGCAGCCTGAAAGCCTGCCGTTCTAGGTTCCCCAGTGGCCGGTATAAATGATAAGGGTACCCCTAAACCCTAAACCCCTAACCCTTGAACCCGTTTTCCTAATAACTATCGAGTGTAACGAGACCCCAGCATGAAAAGGAACCCAGGGTTGGAGGCTGAGTCCACATGTGCCCAAAGAGCAGACGGCTCCCTTCAAGCTTAGGCCTTTTCTGGTGCTTTTGTAGAAGCATAAAGACTTGGAGTCTCGAGTCTGGGGGTTAGTTTCATGCCGCGGTTTATTGCTTGAGCGCCCAAACCCTGAACGTCATTCAGATTTAGAGCCCAGCCCCGCCAGGCCACCAAATAAAAGTGAACTCCTGAACAATAATATCCTCGAAGCCAAATACTGGAATTTGGTCACACACTTGCATCGCCCTCTTACGCTTGCTTGACCCAAACTACCCAAACCGTCAAGAAGCGCTCGGAGAATTTTTTCACCCCCTGATGTACGTAGGCGCATGAATGTGCAGGACTGACAAGATGATTGATTGCTTGCTTGGTTGATTGACCGCTTGATTGATTTAAGGAATCACAACATAATTGAGGAAGGTACGCATTCAAGCAGGCAGGCAGGCAGGTGTATACCACGATGTTATGCGTGTGTATGTAATGTAATGCAAAGTAACGGTATGTATGTATGTATGTATGTATGTATGTATGTATGGTAATGTAATGTAGGGTAATGGTATGTCTGTATGTATGTAATGTAATGTAATGTATGTATGTATGCGGTCTGGAAACAAGCGTAAAACTGTGACCGCCACACACACACACACCCCACACTGGCAGGCCTTCGAAACAGTACTCCTCTTTTCCGGCCTTCAAAGATTTGAGCGTTTCGGGGCTCGGTTTTTAGGACTTGGGGTGTCGTGTTTGGGCCTTTTAGCCCATACTCCAAAGCATAACTTCCATATCCTAAACCCTATGGGATTTGGGCTTTCAGGGTGTTCCGGTTTAGGAGCTAGGTCGTACTTACGTAGGTATTTCAGGTCTTTGGGTTCGGAACTCGGAAGCCCATGTTTTGGAGCGCAGGCCTCTCCATTACTGGGTTCTTGTTAAGGGACTCAATTAAATCAAGTGACCATAATAAGGAAATCATATTCTTTGCTGTGGATCCCTACCATGGTAACCTAACTTAAACTCCTCAACGGAAACCCAGCATTAGGTAGCAGCACCTTGTTGACCCCTAAGTTGCTCAATATGGCCATGTGCATGTCCCACCGTGAGTACAGGGTACAGGGGCTTAGAGTGTGGGGTACAGGATTCTTTTCTTGTTTAAGGGCCCTCTTTCGACTGCTCCGGCGTATAGGATTTAGGGTTGAGGGTTTAGGGTTCAGGGTTAGTGGCCACCTGGGTGCCGTTGAGGCATCAAGGCTTGAAGTGCAGGTTGTGTTGGTTTTAGTGCACTTATAACCCGACGACAGATAGCCATCGACAGGGTATTCACCACCACCTGCCCGTACTCACCACGGAGCCGCAAGATCCGAACAGTCGCCAACACCCTAAACCTAAACCCTAAACCCTTCACCGACGAACTAGTGTCACCTTCTCCGGTGCAACTAGGGTCCGATATACCTAGCAATGTGGGGATGGTGGTGAGATTAGCGTTTGGGGGAGTGCGTGCTTGCTGTTAGCTTGTGAGGTACTACTTGGAGGTTCGCACATGTAGCGGTGAGGATTCGAGATTCTCTGTCGTTTCTATAGAGATTCTATGTTTGCTCTTTATCTACACCTGGAGGTTCAGGCATATAAATGGGGTCATAAGTCCCCTAACATAGGTTAGAGGTATACTTACTCTACTTAAAACCCCACTTAGAACCTCCAAGTAGGGCTCATGACCCCCCATCAGAATCCCCAGCTCCTGTGATGGATCCCAGTAGTAGCCGTCATACGTCGAGCCGAACTTACCTGATCCGAGAGGCGGGGAGAAGCCAAAAGCAGAACGTTGCCAATGTAGGGCTTATATAAGTGGAGTGGTGTTTGTTGTGGTTTTATCAATAGAAAGCATGCTTTTCTGAGGCCAATACTGCGAATCGACTGTATGTCAACTTCAGGACACGGCGTTCGCGCAGCACAAAAAGGCTTACCCTCTGCAGACGCTTTGCAAGTGTCTTTGCAAACTTGCATACAGATGATGGGGAACACAACCCTAAGGGTCCATGTACTCATATAGTATATACATTGGCCTTAATGTAGTCCCTATATAGGTACTTTGGGGCTCATGTATCTCTATATATTGGTACATGGACCCTTAGGGCTATTACTAGCGATTCAGACCCCTGCTTAGGTTCCAGTGCGGAGTTCCGCGGACTCAACCCCAAACCGTTGATCCGATGCTGTAGAACGGTTTAAGGGTTTAGGGTTTATAGGGTTCAGAACACCCCAGATTTCACCTGACCCTTCGAGCACGAGACAGACTTGGCTTCAAGGGCGGCTATAGTAACTATAGTACTGTTAGCAAAGTAAAGAAACATGGTCTGCTGCCCAGCCGGAAGCAGGTCGGCAACTGACGATTTAGATCCTAAAACAACTGACGTCCAACGAATGCCCAATCAGTAGGGCTTTAGGTCCCAAATACGATAAACCCTACTAGATTCGGATACTTGGTCCGCTATTGTGAGCCAAAGAAACTGCTGGCGCTTACCTTAGCAGTTCGCTTTTGGTAGCAAACCTGAATAACATGGGGGCCTTGATCCGATAGACGACTGGGTTTTGGGGTTTATTATAGTACCCTAAGGGTCCATGTACTCATATAGTACATACATTGGCTTGAATGTAGTCCCTATGCAGGTACTTTTGGGGCTCATGTATCTCCATATGGGTACATGGACCCTCAGGGGTATAGTCACAAAGCAGAAATCCAAGCGAAGTTGGGCATGAATCACTATGATCAGGCTGACCGTCAAGAGCTGCATAGCCCCGGATGCAACAATGGTTTCAATCCTGCTGGCCGCGACGAAGGAACACGAAGTACTTGTAGTCGGCAGTTGCTTCGGAATGGGCCGACGCGCCGTGCTCAGTTACACTGTTACGGGGGAATTGCGACTGGAACTAAACGTAGAACTTTGTGGGCGCCCCCGGCTGGAACCAAAAGCATAACAAGAGACAGAGAGAGAGAGAGAGGGGGATATGTACACATCCATCGTTGTGTGTTTCTGAGTGTCTTTCTATATACACATACGAGGATACTCTCTGGATTTCTGTAATATATATATATATATATATATATGTATACATACATACATACATACGTACATACATACATACATACATACATACGTACATACCTATGGTGAGTGTATATGTTTTTTCATCTATGTATTGTATTTTAATGAGAGCATGTTGCTGGCGTGCATGTATACAATCGTGCAAAGCTCCCGCAGCCAGGTGGCCCAAGTCTGGACACGACCAGCGAATCCATGCGGGTACGCGATAGACCTTCGAACCTGGGACTGGGCTCTTGCTCAGGAAAAACAGGCTTAGTGTTAAAGGTGCCTAAGAACGAAACAAAGCACCATACATCCTAGTCATGATGACTTGAAATGAAACGCATTGGCGCTACTTGACTCCATGCCGTCATTGCTGATGCCCCTTGTCAAGATTGTTGGGGCTTGTTCGGGGGGCGGGGGGGGGGTGGGGGGGGCTTAGTTTAGGGCGCAGTTCGTCCTGACCCGAAAACATCCTAATTACAACCCTAAACCCCAAACCCTCAACCCTAGACCCTGAACCTTAAGCTCTGAACTTAAAACTTAAACCACTTAAACGTCATTGAAACCCAAACCTTAAACCCTAAGCCCCAAACCTTAAACCCCAAACCGCCCTCCGTCGAGGCTCCGTCGGGCGTCGTGGCACAAAACTTGACTTTCGTGCGGTGGGCGATGGACTTTGCCGGCAGGGTCACCTGAGACGGGTGATGGGGTTTAGGGTTTAAGGTTTAGCGAGTGGGAATGTAGTGATTTAGATAAGTAGAATAAGGCGGGGTCTACTCTACGCTATAAAGATATACTTTGCATGGACCATAATTAGAGAAATACTGGCAAGGGTTGATAATAATTGTTTTGCTACCCACAGCCCAAGATCAAAAGTGTTATGCCAACTCTACAGCACACCCTATGCCCTAAATCACAAGCTCCACCACCTTCCGAAAGGGCCAACATCTCTGAGTAGTACGTTTACGTCTGCTGAAGCTTCTACATGCCGTCATCCTGCTTGGCACCAACCAATTGAGACATGTCAATATACTTTGGGACCAAACGAAACTAGCCGATGTTCGTGGCACCTGCGCATCCCTTGCGACTGCAATCCTTAAACATCGGCAAACGCGATCTCAAGATCTGCAGGGAGCTCAGTGTGTCACTGAAAAAAAGTAGAGGTGCGTTACTACTTAGAATCGGGTTCTGGCGGAAAGTTTCATAGAAGCCCTCCCAATTCAGGCTTTTGGAGTTTAGGGCTTGAGGGGTCAAGCCCTAAATTCACCACTGCACCTTCCATCACAAGAGTCCAAACGACATAGCAATTATGACAATTATGAACTGAAGTGCATAGACGCGCACAGCTATAGAAACTCAACACACGTCGTAGGAAGCCATAGGGAGACCACGTAAACGTCGATCTGGCTAATCTCAAGAACAGTACTTGCCATGAACCCTGAACCTCAAACCAAATCCCCACATTCCGTACCCGCCCAAGCAAATCGAACAACACCGTTTAAGGGAACCCTACTTGGAGGTTCATGAGTAGTTATAAATAGGGTTATAAGTCCACTAATATGTGTTATAAGTATAGTTACCCTACATATAACCCTTCTTATAACTCCCCATGAACCTCCAAGTAATGGAAACCCCTAAACCCTACATGCCGAAAGCCTAGGCAGCCAGCCCAAAACCAGAAAGACACCCTTAAAGTAGAGGAGTCCTTAACAACAGTACCCTAAAGAAACCCCTGAAGCTTAAAGACATCCTTAACTGGATCATATCAGTTGCAACATGCCAATAAAGGTACCTAGGTCTGTAGGTCCTTAACCCTAAGGCTCGAAAATAGCCGAAAAGCCTTATATAGTATGGTCTTTGGGCCCAAAAGCCTTAAAATACGAGTCCTTAGAGCCTAAGGGTAACTGAAAGATATTCCGACCAAAATCTTCGGCATTTCCAGTCGGGGAGCTTCCCAGGTTCCAAAGGCGTCACGCGCCAGGGGGGTCGCACCCTAGCGCTGTGTTTAGAGTTGAGGGGTTTAGGATTTAGGGGCTTTGGGGGCTTTGGGGTTTAGGGTTTAGGGGTCAAGAGTCAAGGGTTTTAGGAGTTTAGTGGTTTTAGGTTCAGGGGTGTCAGCGCATCTCTTAAGAGGGCATCTAGGGACTCGTTTAGGTTGTGTACAGGGCTATTGAACTATGTCTCAACCCTTCAACGCACTGTTGTCCTCGTATCTTTTGGGCTTCCTTGTATCGGCCCTCATATAGAGTTTGGGCTTCCAGAAGCGTTTAAGTGTACAAAAATTGGCGGGGGGGCGGGGGGGTTACACAAATACTTTGAAGCTTATAGGGTTTATTGAACCTGATTAAGAAACCCTGGGCCTATAACACCAAAATAGTAGGTTGCATACAAGGACCCCAAATAAAGCCCAAGGTTTCTGAATAAGGTCCCTACATTACCACAGCTGACCTAAGGTCTCCATCGTAGTTCCCTGTTTGGGGCTATCTAGTCTGGGATCCCATTGTATTCACTTGCTTGACCCAAACAGGAAGAAAAGGAATTAATGTAGGAACCTGCTTAAGAAACCCTGGGTCTTTATTGAGGCTCCTTACATGAATCCTACTATGTTGGGGCTTTAGGCCCAGGGTTTCGTAATCAGGTTCCTACATGGCTATTATATACCCATTATTATAGCCCGGTTATAGGGTAGGGGTCCCTACTAAGGGTCCCTCCTTTTCCCTTTTGAATTAACCATAGCCGGAAGACAAGGAACTACAATGGAGACTGCAGGGGAGGCAGTTTGAAAGTAGAATCCCATGGTCAGGTTCCGCCGGGGTAGGATACACTCCCCCAAAACAGAAGCCAAAGCGTTCCCAAAGCGTCCTAAGTACCTTATTTGGGGGATACTTACCCCAACTATGATAGAGTAAGTCCTCATACAGAAATCCAGTTTCTCCTACGCAGGTACTTAGGGCCCTGTGGGACTGCTGCTATCTCAAACTCAAGCTGCTTTGTCGGATGTCTAGGGTATCGAAGGGCTTCAGGAGTTTGCGAAGCTCTCTATTATGCCGACGGTCAGGGTTGTGGGTTGTATATGGGGTGTTAGATTCTGTGTATAGAGGCTTGAATGTTGATGCACTCGATTTTCGGGGCTCTAGAAATATTGTTGCACCATTCGAGTATACCCATAGGCCCCAAAGTAGTTCCTTTTTGGGGATTACCTTATAGGATTCTATATATGAACCCCAGAAAGGCACTACTTTGGGGCCTTAGGGTACCCGGGGTTTACAAGGTGAATGCAGCGGGATTTAGGGTATGGGGTTTAAGGTTATACTGATTTTGACAGCTTTCCGACCTTCTGTCTTTAAGCATGGCTGACACGGACTTCATGCGGTGTGCAGGGACAGGTTTGTACAGGCCTGAAGGCTTCGAAACGGTATTGAAGGTCTCTTACACGCTCTAAGCCCTTCTTTTGCAGGGCTCCTTATTCCCAGAATCTCTCCTTATATTTAAATTTATATATATATATATACATATACCCTGTACGAGGATGGGGTATTTCGGGATGATCTCGCAATCCACGAGCCTACAAATTATACGACTATACGTAGGAATTGTTATATTGTAAGTTTCTATAGTATAGTACAGTATAGTATACTCGTATATAGCAAAGTCTACTACGGTAAAGTAGAGCAGGCTAGAGTATAGCTATTATATATTTACGGTCTAGAGTTTGTAATTGTAACATCGGAGTCTAATCTATCATGAATTACCGGATAGCTGAACAACGAAATCCAACACTAAACTTGCTTAAGCAACGCTCAAAAATATGAAACAGAAAGGGTGCTTAGCCAAACAGAAAATGCTGAACCATAGATGCTGACAGCTCGACTCCGGATCAATACGGATCGATGACAGTTTGGCATGGCTAGTTTGCAAAAAGCGGCTACCCTGCGAAATGAACTGTGAACCCGGGACCCGTCCGAAACATAGCTCGCATAGCCACCGAATCTCTCATCATACCCATAGAGATCCAGATATCTATTTCCAGCTGATGCACGCGTAATTCCGTAATCCATAGACCTTGCATGAGCCCCTGCATCCCACCCAAAGCCAAGGCGCTAATTTGCATCCCACCCAATTGCCCAGGCGCTAGTTTGCCTGAAACCCTAAACCTACCTTGGCCTACCAAACCCTACTTTTTGTGGTTCTTAGTATAAACCAAACCCAAATATGGAATTTATAGGGACCCTACATAAAACTCAGCTCCTGTTGAACCTTCAAAATTTTATCCGTAACTCCGTGGCTCGGAAGCCTCGTCCCAGTTGTTGAAATCGCCCACCAGTGACCTGATGGCTAGTTCTCTACATTAGGTTTAGGGTTTAGGGTGTGGGGTTTAGGGCTTGGGGGTTTAGGGTTTAAGGCTTTACGGTCTAGGGTCCCTTTTACAAGAGTGCCGACCTATTTCGGGGATCCAAAAAAGGGAGGCCAATTTAGAGACCTACCCAACTAGTTCAATGCATGAGATGTTGGTTCTGTGCAATTGGAAGTAGGGCTTTAGGGGCCTAGCGTTGACAAGGTCGTGAGGGGCCTGTGTACTGGTCTAGGGCCAGAAACTACTCTCATACTTCAAGGTACTAGTCCCACAAGCCAAATCACATGGGAGCAGCAGTAGCAGTAGCAGGAGCAGCAGCAGCAGCAGGAGCAGGAGCAGGAGTCGTAGCAGCAGGAGCAGGAGCAGGAGTCGTAGGAGCAGTAGGAGCAGTAGGAGTGGTAGGGGTAGTAGGAGTAGGAGTTGTAGGAGTAGGAGGAGTAGGAGTAGGAGTAGGAGGAGTGGGAGTAGTAGGAGTAGTCAGAGTAGTCGGAGTAGTAGGAGATGTAGTAGGAGCAGTAGCAGTAGCAGCCGCAGCAATAATCGTGGTGGCAGCAGCAACAGGTCGGGTAGCACTTGCAACGGTAAACCAAATTGAGTCGCACAGCTCTCGCTGGTGGCAGCCACTCCCTGTAGGTGATTGCCCCCGAGGCCTTCCAGGAAGGCAGATCTGTAGGGTGTAGAGTTTAGGGTTTAGGGTTTTTTGGCTTGTAGGGTTTAGGGCACTGAAGGCTTTCTGGGAACGGAGGGTTTGCAGGTTCCTGATTCTGAATCGCAGGTTCCCTAGACACGCGAACAAACTGCAATTGAGAGCTTCACTCCAGGTCCTGAAAGTATATCCGGCGCCCGTGCGTGGTGTGTTGTAATTCCCTAAGGGTCCATGTGCCCATATAGAGATACATGAGCCCCAAAGTACCTATATAGGGACTACATTAAGGCCAATGTATATACTATATGAGTACATGGACCCTTAGGGATTGCACAATCATTGAACCAACTATCCCAATAAACCCCCCAAGCATGTTGCCACGCCACTACCAAAAAAGAGATGAACCGCCAGGAACTTTATGAATTAAAGGGTTAAGGGATTTGGTGAGCCTTTGGCTTCCATGAGATCAATTCTTCAACACCTTTGGGCTTGAGGGGGTGGGCAGTCGATGGGCTTTGGGCTTTGCAGTTCAGGCTTCAGGGTCCCTGGGGGGTTTAGGGTTTAGGGTTCAGCGATGAGGGGTTTAGGGCTTAGGGATTAGGCATTTAGGGTTTAGGGTTCAGGGATGAGGGGTTTAGGGTTCAGGGTTTAGGGGTTTAGGGTTTAGGGTGGGTGTGTCTATCTGCAATGCACACCCATTTCTCGGGTGCTGCCCTGAAACCCCAGAGGGTCCTAAGTACCTGTATGGTAGAATGTAGAGTTTCTATATGAGGAATTACTATTATGATCCGGGCAAGTATCCCCCATAACAGTACATACGGCTGATGATATAAATCCTGCATTACCCTAAGGACCCTAAAGTATGGGAATTATGGTTAAGTCCTTATTATGGGTAATGCAGGATTTATATCATCAACCCTAAACCCCAAACCCCTACAGATCCCTTAAAGGAGCCCCTAAAAGTATCCCCCAGAACAGTACATACAGTAGAAGCCTAAAAGTTGGAAACCCAATAGCCTCAATCCTTAAGAGTAATGTATAGGGAATCCCAGCACTATTTGGCCTTAATCCGGTTTCCAACTTTATGGGGTTTACTATATAGATCCCCTTATGGTAACCCTTTTAGACCCCTTTAAAGGAACCCTGGGAACCCTAAAATAGGCCAACTTTATGGGGTTACTATAATGGTTTTGAGCTTTGAAGCTGCAGGACCCTTTGGGAACATGCTAGAACTCGAGAAGCAAAGCATCTGCAAGCTTCTGTCTGACGAATGCGCAGGGTTTAGGGTTTAGGGTTTAGGAACTCAACGGTTGAAACCATGGGCCCCTAGGTCTGGGCCCTTAACCCTGGGATCCCTAAATACCTACTATATACCCTATACTATACTGAACTTAGAACCCTAGCAAAAATTATCATTTTAGCTGTTACTTAGGGATTATAATTATCCAAAAACAAAAAAATATTTCTAAGTACCCGTAAGTATATAGACGCGTAAGGGTGACTAGAACTCCTTCAAAAAGGCCTAAGGGTCCATATTAGGGGCCCATACTTCTAACCTTAGACTAACAGTACCAGTCCCTCTGGCAAAAGTATCTTATCTTAAGAGAATCTCCTTCTCGTATTCACCGTAGCCCACTATGACCATAGCAAAAACAGTATCCTTATAGAATCCCCTTACAATCTGACCCATATACTTCTACGGTTCTAGGGTACCGCCCCAAAGACTGAAAGAATACATGTAATAAGAGCGCTGAAATAGTTGTGTCCTTCTACTATAACTATGGGTGAGCCCCTACTGGGACGAGAAGCTGTGCAGGCCTCATGCTGCAACCCTATCTTGCTACACAGGCTGAAATCCATTCTTGGCGGGCTGTCCGCCAAGTTTGGATCATGTGGAGCGCATGCACTGTCCTTGCGGAAGCCTTGTGCGACGGCTCCTGTTCTCCACTATCTTGTGGCCCCGCATAATTGCAAAAGACAGCGCCCGGTCAACTGCCTCGACGGTGCATATATGGGATCTTGCATCGCCCACTTTGCCAACACATAGACATACCTTAAACTACCAAACCCTACTTTTCTGTAGGTCCTTATTATAAACCCTAATATGGAATTTATAGGGACCCTGCAAGAAAAGTAGGGTTTGGTAGGTTAAGGCAGTCCATCATCTACAGAACACCACAGTCCAAGGACGTGGGCCACAGGAACCTCCGCCGGCTGCCATGCATGCAGCCGGTCAAGCAACACTTGCACGGCTGCGGCACTATCGGCACCCGGCAAGTCAAGCCCACCTAAGCCCCCAAACCCGAAGCCTTGTAGAATCCTTACCCATATAGACTACCATGACCATGACTACCACTGCCGGAATTGGGTGCCAAAACCATACTGAGGATGGTCTTTTGGGACCTAATTCCACAATCGCTTCAAATATGGGTGGTTGTCAACATCATGGTCCCCTTTTGTGGTACCCTACCTATTAGGTGCCGTAGTATATTAGGGACCCAAAAAGGGGCCGTAATTTTGACGACCACCCTTTTGGACCTCCTGGGCTATGCCTTATCCCTATCGGGTACCGCTCCTCGTCCTTGGTGAAGCCCAACCTCGTGCGACTTCTTTGAGCTGGGTCGCAAGGGTTTGATGATCGGGTTTCTGAATTTTGGGGACACCATTTATAGGATTTAGAGTTAGGGGCTTAGAGATTTAGAGTTTAGGGGTATAGGGTTAGGGGGTGACGGGTTTAGGGGTTTGAGGGGTATAGGCGGTATAGGGTTAGGGGGTGACGGGTTTAGGGGTTTGAGGGGTTTAGGGTTAATTTAGGGCACTTTATGAGAACAGCAGCTGTAAGATGCTGTAAGCCAATCGTTATAGTCATAATATTCACAGCGTTAGACTACTGCTGAAATGCAGCAATACCTTCAGCATGCTCTAGCAGAGCAGAAAAGCTGACCCCACAGCTTCCTTGCACTGATATTTACGACGCTAAACTGGACCTGAAACTCTAAATGAACGTTCTCGCTGTTATGAATTCGAGAACAGTGGCGAGGGGTGGCCTCAGTCAAGAGAAGGTCGAGCGACCGACTTTCGTGCCTTCTACGTTCTCTCTAAGGGGGATTATGCCCCGATGTCCCCCTTAAGGTTCCTGAGTGGGAAGAACCAAAAGGATGTGTCTTCATACATCGATGTGCCTTAAAGCCCCAAAGCCTCTACTTTTGGGCCACTCTGACGGAAGCGCAGGGCGCTCTCATGAGAGTTTTGGGCCTAAAGTGGCGACACTCCCATACCCTAAGGCTCCATGTCAGTGTGTCTCAGGCCCTAAGGCCTAAAAAAGAACCCCTCTAAGGCCTGAGAATATATCATTTAGACACATGGCGTCCTTTGGCCATAGCTCGAATGTTGACATCATGTGGAACGATGCATACTAAAGGCTCACGATTCATCTAGACCCAGTTTTCCCGTGGCTGCTGGCCGTGGGTTCTTCGAATCTCTAGCCCAATCGCCAAAACCAAATCCCCGAAACCCGAACCTCAACACCCTAAACCCCCGAAGTTAAAACTCTAAACCCCAAAACCCTAAACACCCAAACCCCTAGACCCCCCAAAACTCAAAACCCTAAACCCCCAAACTCCTGAACCCCGAAGACCCCCAAACCCCTAAAACCCTGAACCCCTAAAACCCGTAAACCCTAAACCCCCAAACCCCTAAAAACCCTAAATCCCTAAAGCCCTTGTAGATCCCTTTAAGGAACCCCGTGTTGCAACCCTTTACGGACCCCTAAACACCCTAGTGTATGCAGCTTTTCGTCGCGGCCAAGGCGCTTCCGGAAGCCGCTGGCAAACTCCGTGAGGGAGCCGGAGGTCTCAGTGATGTGCTTTCCTCACAGCTTGAGGTCTTTAGGGGTTTAGGGGTTTTAGAGCTTTTGTTAAGGGCTTAGGGTTTAGAGCTGTTTTTTAAGGGTTTGGGGTTTGGAGTTTTTTTAAGGGTTTAGGGTTTAGGGATTAGGGTTTGGGGTTTGTGCCTTCGAGGCAGCTTAAGGGTTCGAAGGGTTCCTATAAAGGGATCTATAAGGGGTTCCTTGAAAGGGATCTGTACAGGGTTCCTTTAGAGGAATCTGCAGGGTTTGTGCTTTCCTGGCAGCTTCAGGTCTTTTGAGGGGTTTAGGGGGGTTTAGGGCTTAGGGGTTTTGGGTTTAGGTGTTTAGGGTTTGAGGGCTTTTCGGTTTGGGGTTTGGGGTTTAGGGTCTGAGGGATTAGGGTTTAGGGGGGTTTGCGTTTTCTGGTTTAGGGGTTTAGGCGCCAGGGGCTTAGCATTGGGGCACAGGGTTTTCGAGAAGCATACACTATGAGCTCCCAGTAACAGCCGCGGCCTTCCTTGTAGCTTTTACAAACTTCCCCAAACCATATCACTGTCATCCCTGAAGCCTAAACTTGACCCAAAACCTTGAACACAAAATCCTGAAGCCCTACAACTCAAAGCCATTCTGTTCAGGTTTTGACGTTCAAGAGGTACCGTCCGCACTTAAAACACTGACGTGTAAACTAAATGTTCATTTGTACCGATTCATAGTGTAAGAGTGCCCCCGACTCAAAACCCTGGTCATGGCATTTGGGTAGCGATTAGGGTTTAGGGGTGAGAGTCTTGGGATACAGGAATGCCCACGTACTCATAAGCATTTCTTGGACTGCTAGGATTCTTAACATGATGGTTTTCACGATTTGAAGCACGTGGCCTGAATCAAGGGCTACTGGGCCCCGTGCAAACAAGACCTCACCCTAAACCCTACCTTGCGGGTTTAAGGCTAGGGTGTAGGGTTTCGAGTTTTGGGCTTGAGGTTAAGGTGTAGGGGTTCAGGGGTTTACACCAAGGGGACATACATTTTCTAGGCATCATGGGTATGATTTCCTCAATTAGACTGTGGTTCCTCAAAGAGGTAGGCCTTCGAGGCTTAAGGTATCCCCTAAAGCCGGAAATCAAAGGGGAAAAGGAGGGACCCTTAATGGGGACCCCTACCCTATACTGGGCTATATAAAGGGTATATAATGGCTATATATTATAAGGGTATATACCTACGGGTCCTTATTAAGGGTCCCTCCCTGTACCCTTGGAGAAAAGAACCCGGAAGTCCCCAGCTCGAACAAGCAAAGTGGCGGAGGTCGGTGTAAACTTTCCAGCGGTACTCGAAGTGACCTGCCAACGATATGCAAGGTTCATTAGAAAACAGGGGCCTTCAACATCAAAAATGTGGCCTGTGGGGATTGGGGATATATTAACCCCTACGCCCTAAACCCTGGTTTAGACATATATAGGGTTAAGGTGGCCCCTCGCCTGATAACTCTATGAAAACCACGAACAATAAAAAATGAAAAGGAATGGAAAAATAATGGAACCAAAAGTCAAAACAAGAGACCAGGACCGACACAGGGAATGGTAAACACACCAAAAAAAACGAAACCAAACATGGAAAAAAACACAAAAATAAATCAAACGCAAACAAAGACAAACTGTCAGGGCCAGGGCATCAGGGGCGACAGGTTCAAAAAAGGACCACCCTGGACCAGCATTCTGCGTTTTGTTTTTCCCCCCCATTTTTTTTCCATTGCGTGGGGGTGGGATTTGGGCCCCGTCCCAGGTGGCCTCCATCCTGGAAAAAACACAAATTCCCTGAAGCATTTGGGAAACAAATCAAAGAAAATGGAACATAATGGAAAAATAATGGAACCAAAAATGGAAAAGAAACGGAACCAAAAATGAAAAAAAATGAGATGGATCGGGGCCGCACGGGAACTATGGAAAAAAATGAAACAAAAATCAGATGCCAAGTGCACCCTGCAACCAAATCGGAGAAACATTGAAGTCAAAATGCCACGGGATTCCAATCCCATATGTTTTCCATTGTTTTCCCATTGCTTGCTTGATTGCCTGAGTGCCTCGATTCCATCTGCAATCTCAAAATAATCCCATTATCTATTATTTCCGAGATAATGACGTTAACAGGACCGGGACATCATAAATATAGGGAAGTTGTCAAAATTAGGGCCCCTTTTTGGGTAATTACCCTAAATATTAGGTGCCGTATTATAATAGGGACCCAAAAAGGGGCCCTAATTTTGACAACCGCCCATATCGGGAGGCCAGAGGACTAGTGTGGTAAGGCCCTCATATTGCGCTGGACTGTGCGCCTCGGAAGGGCACACAAGCCGGATCGGCTGCAACGAGTCCCATGCCATCCTTAGAGAGTCGAGGCTTGCTTCGGGTTAAGGTGTTAGGCTGGGGTCCCTATTATAATACGGCACCTAATACTTAGGGTAATTACCCAAAGGATCCTAATTTTGATAGGCTTTATAGGGTTCAGGGCCTAAGGTTTAGTTAGGGTTTGAGGTCAGGGTTTAAGGGCTCAGGAATTAAGCGATTTTTACTTCTTACATAGCCCCACAAGCTCCTTGATAAAAGGTAGCCCGTTGCTCACCGTTCAGTTTCAACAGTGTAACCAAGTATGAAAGGGTCAAAGCAAACCATGGGAGCCTAGACCCTCATAGAAACCTATGGATCCTTTCTAGGAGCCCTCTAAGTAGGCAGGATAAGAAACTGTTTATCTACCCAAGTACCCCTATATAAGACTTCGAAACCCTTTAAGACACTACCCTAAATCCTAAAAACCAAAACTCCTAAACCCTAAACCCCTAAACCCAAAACCCCCGAACCCTAAACCCCGACCCGTAAACCCCTAAACCACTCAGCCCTAAACCCCTCAACCCCTCAACCCAGACCCAAGTAGCTAGGATAAACCCCCAACTGTACTAAATCCTTATAATAGCCCTAGTAGTAACCCAAATGGACCTATTAAAAAGACCCGAGGTAGGATAAATCCCTAACTGTACTAAATCCTTCGAATAGCCCTAATAGTAGCCCCTATGGACCCCTTTAAACGTACCCTAACAGTCCCAATAGTAACCCTTATGGACCCCTTTAAAAGGACCCTGATGGCCCTACCAGCAACCCCTATGGACCCTTTTAAAAGGACCCTAATAGCCCTAATAGTAACCCCGATGGACCCTAAACCCTCAATCCTAAACCCTCAACCCTAAACCCTAAACTCTAAACCCTAAACTCTACACCCTAAGCCCTAAACTCTCAACCCCAAACCCTAAACCCTAAACCCTAAACTCCAAACCCTAAACCCTGAACCCTAGATCCTAAACCGCTTCAAAAGGACCCTACTTGAAGGCTCATGGGACCCCACTTAGTGGACTTATAACCCCAATTATAACCTACTTACTAAGTCCCATGATCCTCTAAGTAGACCCTAAACCCCATAGATCCCTTTAAGGAACCCCTATAGATCCCTTTAAGGAGCCCTTTAAGGACCCTAGGAGCGAGGCCAAGGTTCCCCAACAATGGGCCGCTCGCGCAGTGCTGGGCGAAATTGGGCGCGGGGCTCGCTGGCTTTGAAGCCCGGCCTGGGTGGGTAGTGCTTTAAAGGGTTTAGGGGTTTAAGGTTTGGGGTTTAGGGTCTTTTTCAAGTTGAACTTTAAGGGCTTAGGGGTTTAAGGTTTGGGGATCAGGGTTTAGGGCTTAGGGTTTAGGTTAAGGGTTTGGGGTAGTGCTTTAAAGGGCTTAGGGGTTTAAGGTTTGGGGTTTAAGGTTTTTTAAGTTGAACTAATTTTTAAGGGCTTAGGGGTTTAAGGTTTGGGGTTCAGGGTTTAGGGCTTAGGGTTTAGGTTAAGGGTTTGGGGTAGTGCTTTAAAGGGCTTAGGAGTTTAAGGTTTGGGGTTTAAGGTTTTTTAAGTTGAACTGCACCCTTTCTCGGAAAAAGAGCTGGTTTAGGGTTTAGGGGCTTAGGGTTAAGTTTGGGACTAGGCTTAGGTGTAGGGTTGCATGTAATCCTTTAAAGGGCTTAGGGTTCGGTTTGGGGTTTAGAGGTTAAGGGTGTGGGGTACTTTAAAAGGGCTTAGGGGATTCGGGATTTAGGGTTGTATTTAGGGTTTAGGGTTTCTGCATCATGTAAGTAGTTCTCTAAGTTAGGGTGGACGGTTTAGAGTTTAGGGTTTGTAGTTTTTGAAAGGGCTTAGGGTGAGGTTTAGGGTTTAGCATGGACTTTTTGAAAGGGCTTGGGCTCCAAGGACTCGTATTTCAAGGCTCTTGGGGCTACGTTTAGGGTAGTGTTTTGAAGGGTTGCCGGGGTCATATAAGTTGGGTAGTGCTCCAAGTTAGGGCCCTTTATGTAGTGTTCGAGAGAGCTTAAGGTTTAGGGCAGGGCTTCGGGGGTTCAAAGTTTAGGTTTAGGTTTAGGCTTCAGGGTTTTGGTTTGGGTTTAAGGTAGTGCTTCGTAGGGTTCCAATCTAGGGTCTTCAAAAAGGGCTCTTGCTTCTAAACGGTTGCTATTACCCTTGGTTGCGGAGGCAGAGGGACACGCCGGAGCCAAGGGTGTCGGGTGTCGCTGTGTGCGGATCACGTCGAGATGAAAGCCCTGAATGCAACCCTGAACTATAAACCCAACCCCCGCCCCTAAATTTAAACTCAACAATCAAAACCCACTCCCAACCCATGCGCAAAACTCTAAACGCCCAAGCTCTAAACAGCCAAAACCAAAACCCCCTTATCTAAAGGTCTTGACAAACCTGTAGACTCTCGCGGACCCCATCCTACACCCCCAAAACCCTACATAAGCCCTAAGCACCAAAAGCGCGAAGCTTTCCGTTCCTTGCTCGAGCCTTTCGGCGGAGAGGGCTGGAGTTGCACAGCTCAAATCCTTTCAGGGGCAGGTGCCTCAGTAAACGCCTGCTTGTTTTTTTGCGGTGCCTTTCCCAGGTTCGGGCCATGCAGAGGTAAGAACAAATCAATGGCGGAGTCTGCGAACTAAGGCCCCTGTACCGAATCCAAAACGCTGAGCGCAGCCCCAAAATACCGAATGCTCTCAACCCGAAAGGGCCGAAAGCCCTAAAGCTCAGCCCTACCCCAAACCCTCAACCCTACAAGCAGAAAGACTTAAATCCCGACTTGCTAAGGCCCCTGCTGATTGGACTGCGGCTCCACGAAGACTGCGGCCGTTAATGCCGGGACAACCAGCTCGTCGGTGGCCTTGCATTGCAAGGGCTAGGGTTTGGGCGGCTTGGGCTTGAGGACTTATGGTCTAGGAGGACTTATGGTCTAGGAGTTACAAGGCGATTTATTTCAGGTCGACGATTCTGGGCGCTGGTTCGCGTTTTACAGGTTTAAGACTTTACGGCTTGTTTCCGGCTTAAGGGTTTAGGGCTTTAGGGAATGGCCTGACAACTCAATATATTAATATTCTGGCTTCCGGGAGTTAAACGGACAAAGTCTTATACCTGTTAACTGAGCCCTATGCCCCGATGCGTCGTTAGTCAACACAAACTGTAAATCACAATCTAAGGAGCATGCCTCTACAAAAGGATCTACGCACCCAAATGGGGTGGTGTTTCAGATACCAGAATAAACCCTAAACCCTAAACCCTCCACAGCCCTACTGTTTGGGCGCTTCTGCAGGATTGAAAACTCTAAGCCCGGAACGCCCTAAGCACTGACTCCAGACGCCCAAACCTAAGCCCTAAACCCTAAAGCAAGCCCTAAATCCTAAACCCTGAAACCCTAAAGCCCGAAACTCTTAAACCCTGAACCCCTAATTCAGGCGTCTTGGGCTGTCTGGGAGAAGCCGCGCTCTCAAACCTTCTGAAGAACACGAAAACACCTCTGAAGTAGAAGCCAGAAAGTTGGAACATTGATTACGAATGATTAGTGCTAGGATTCCCTAGACTCTACCTTCGGGGCACCAGGAGAATGATGTTCCGACTTTCGGGCTTCTACTTTTCATAATCAGCCAGCAAAAAACCAAACAAAGCACCGAAGGTTGGGGTTGAACCTCTCTTTAAGTGAGCCAAGAAAGCAGAGACACCCCACTTGAAGGCTCATGGGACTTAGTAAGTAAGGTTATAAGTAGGTTATAATTGGGATAACCGCACTTAGGGGACTTATAACCCCAATTATAACCTACCTACTAAGTCCCATGATCCTCTAAGCAGGTACTGCCCCCATACAGTTAGGGGACTTATAACCTACCTACTAAGTCCCATGATCCTCTAAGCACCCCGAAGTTCATGCTTGGGCGCCTTCTGGTTCCGATAGACCCTCGAGGCCCCATTTGTTGTTGCTCGAAGTACCTACTATAAGTTCCCAAACTCTCCATGTACCCTTATAGTAGCTACTTAAGCCCCAAAGTAGTCCCTACATAGGTACTTTAAGGCCTAAGTATCTACTATAAGGGTACATGGAGCCTTAGGGGTTTACAAGGTTCACCTGCGCATATGAAACCCACTTTTTAGGCTCCTTATTCTGGTTCCATGTATTGCGGACCCTTGTTATGATTCCATGTATTATGGTTTTCCCCAAACGTCGTAAGGGTGCGGGGCAGGGCGGTTAGGGTCTCGGGGATCATATCCTGCTACTTCAAATACGTTTTGAGGCTGCAGGTAGGCTCTTAACCCTCAAGCGCCTGTCACCCGACGGAAGAAACAAACACAAATGCCAAACCCTCATATCATGCCGGTCGTTTAGGGTGTTAGGCTTCAGGGGTCTGGGCGCAAGCTAGATCCTGCCCCTGAGGTAAAGAACCCTTGTAACAAACTGTAAAGCCCGCTTCTCCCAGGCCTCGTCGTAGCGTGCTTGCCGGGTGCGGGTATCCGCCGAAGCCATCTGCATGCAGGTCAGGATTCAGGATTTAGGGTTGTGGGTAGGGATCAGGGTTTTGGGGCTTCCGGCTGTTGCTTTAGGGTTTAGGGTTGTGGCCCGTGACTTGGTCAACGCACGGATTACGCACCAAATATGCAAGAAACACCTGGGCCGTGCAGGGCACCCTTCGACAGTAGGCCGGTTATATATAGCCGGAACTTGGCTTGGAATAGAAGGGCATGGGGTGTCTGGGTACTCAAAAACTCGGACGCTCTTACTTAAGGTATGGTCGATAAAGGAGCAGGTCGGGGCGTTTGGTAGCTGTAAGTCCAACGTCCAAAGTCCAGGCACTTCATAGTCAAATACCAAAAGAACTGGGTGCTGTCCTCAAACCAAGTACCTAGATACTGTGTCCCGGGAACCCTCAGGACAACACACTTTCAAACAAACCCTTACAAACGCCTGCAGAGTCTTGCAACCTGGTATATAGTGGGTTATTCGGGCCCTTCAGCTTTAAAGTATGGCAGCCCAAGCTTCAAACCTCAATCCCAAACGGTGCCTGGCACCATATGGGTGGTTGTCAAAATTATGGTCCCTTTTTGGGGTACCCTAAATAGCAGGTGGGACCCAAACAGGGACCCTAATATTGACAACCACTGGGCTTTTAAGTAACAGAAAGGGCTACCATGGGGCCTGCGTTTGGGACACATCACGTTTCGCGGTTTCGCAGCGATTTGTTTCACATCTTCTTGCTATCCTATGCTTGTATAAACAGTTCTGGGTTATTTACTGTATTGTTCGTACTTGTAGACATTTATGTCGCTTATCAATAATGTTGTTGTTTATAAGCAGGGCCTGTGTTTATAAACAGTGTCTGTGTTTATAAGCATGGCTTGTGTTTATAACCAGGGCTGGCGTTTACAAACTAAGATGAAAGAGGGGGGGGGGGGGGTGGGGGGGGGGGGGGGGTCTGAGGGTTTGTGGCTGACATGTTGAGACCTGCCCCCCACCCCCCCCCCCCCCCTCCCCCCTCCCCTCTCTCTACTGCGTCCCGTCCCCACCCCCAACCCCAATCCCACTCACCATGCACATAACACACCAAAAACCAAGCGCGCGCTGGCACCATTTCCACAAACTTTACCACTTTGTCTATCCTCCTTGGAAGAACACGTCGAGTTGCTGTATTTCTCGCACACAACACAACTTCGTTCGCCGATGTTGTGAAAACGCTGGTAATTACAATGTCTTTTTGCGTCTGAAGTGTATGAGTTTATGCTTTGTGAACAAGTTGTATAGCATCACCCTTCCCTGTCTATGAACAAATGGTTTGTTCAGGGCACGTGAGCTGCTTACAGAAGTGCTGTATCTTCTCACGGTTCACAGGGTCTCGGCTGTACACAGACCGTCGCGATGTACACATCAAGGACAGTCGTAAGGATGGAAGGCGGTTTAGGGTTTAGGGACCAGAAAGAACCCTCAAAGCCTTATTTTGACATTCCATCATAGTTTCACTCTTCAATAGAAGCTAAATTCTGGCAATATCCGACATTGCTACTGCCAGCACTACAGCAGTTTTTTGGGGAAATTGCGTTCTTTACTTCGAGATCAGCTTATGTGACTTATGTGACACTGATGTATTGTATGTATGTCATAATGCAAGGCTTCCGAGCCTTTGCTTCCTGGATATGACGATATACACTGTGTGTGCTGTTGTGTTTCGCTGATTTCCGCTATTCGCTTGCCTTGTGCTGTTGATTTCGACGAACGTGGTGATACATCCATATTTTGAAAAATTGTGGATCTCGACAAAAACGCATCTTCGACTGGGAAAACCATGATGCAGAGTGTATGCGAGTTGAGGACCGTGTTAATGTGAAAGTGGTGGGGTGGCAACTGGGAAAACAACTGTTCAAGGGTCATCGCAACCTAAATCACATGAACCGAACAGAAAGCTATGTATTGCTGTGAAACTGGAAGGCCCTAGGCTCCAAATACGTAGCACTGCGTTACAATAGAAACTAAATCTAAAACACACTACTCATTGATTTGTGTACATACAGGCAGTGTGCACCCCTGACACAATGTGTGTTGTAGCACTGCATAAAACATACTATGTATGTACATGCTCCCAGTTTGCAGCAGTAAATTCCTGCGATTGTCAGCATTGTTGTATACTGTTGTGAAGCCCCGCATAGGTAGGTAATACTGCAATCTTCAAACTGGGAAGAAAGTGGAAACTCACGGACATGTGCCAACTCAACACACAAGGAACTCAGAACACGGCGGGCGACACGGCTCCAAAGATTTTCGAGAGTCCAAGTTGTGGAAACAGATGCACGGTGCGTGAAATACTTTGTCTTCTTTCGTTTCGCTCGGACGTGGCCGGGTGTCCACTGCGTACAGGGTGCCATAATTAGCGATTATTATTCGTACCATGACCATGCAAGCACATAAACAGTGCAAGTGCTCATGTAAGTTTAGCTGTGGAATATATACATGTGCACGTGTATTCGAGTGTATGCATTTTATATGTTCATAGGCCCTCATGGCCTTTTACAAGCAGTTGCAACCACACACACATGTATAAATACATATATGTATATATATATATATACACATACGTACGTACATACATGCACATGCATAGGTGCTTCGTATAATGCTAAAACGCCAAAGACGCCCAAAAACATAAAATGCAAAACCCAGGCCCCATGACAGCCCGCTCTCTTAAGTAACCAGGGAGAAAAAGTATAAACTTTTATTTCATATAAGGGTTCCTTTAAGACAAAAGTATTAAAGTATGATACTTCAAAGCCCATAAAGTAGAAGCCAGAAAGTTGGAATATCATTATCGTAACCCTTTATGGTAAATTATAGGGTATCCTACCATGAAACCATATTCCAACTTGATGGAGTTCCCTTTATGAGGAACGGCCTGCAGTGGGTGCAGCATCAGCATGCCGCCACTCCGACTCCTGTCTGGCAAATGTCCACTACGGCGTTTTGGGCTTTTAGGGTTTTTAGGGTGTAGAGTTTTAAGGTTTAGGGTTTAGGGTGTAGGGTTTAGGATTTAGGGGTTTAGGGCTTTTAGGGTTTAGGGTGTAGGGTGTAAGGTTTTAAGGTTTAGGGGTCTAGGGTTTTTAGGTTTGGGGTCTTTGCGGTGTTCATCGCAGGTACAGGTTCAGGTTTAGGGAGCAGGTTTTCCGGTGTAGGGCTTGTCGGTTTTAGGGTTCCAGGTCAAGTACGGGCTATATTGCAAATAGCAGTGTATTATGCGATTCCGTACTCACTAACAATACAACAATAGCAAGACTCATGAACTTTACGTGGCCTTCCCTGAGACAAAGGCTGTCACCATCTAGCTCAATATGTCCCCACATCAACGGGTTTTGGAGCTTTTGCCCTCAACCATAAATCTGTAAACATCAAAAACTTAAAAAAAAAAAACAACGACCCAAACCCACATTTGTTTGCTCCACAGCATACATATGCCCCTGCTCCGCTGGCCTGCAGCTACCGGATTGTCGTGCCTACGGCTCTACAGTCTGAAATCTAAACTCAGCCCTAAACCCCATCAGCCCTAAGCCCCTAACGCTGACCCTATGAACACGAAACCCGGGAGAGCCCTCGAACTCTACAAGCTGCCATGCCCTAAACTCTATCAGACCGAACCTCTGACTCAGCCCTAAACTCTAACCCTATGCCTCCAGGCACCTTATTATGGGGTCCAAAAGGGGACTAGGGCCCATGAGGTCCTTGGAGGGATAGGGTAACCCTAAAAACCAGAGAAAAGTCTTATGCCATGGGGTTTTACTGCTCAGGCGACTTGGGCATCAACCGAGTTTGGAGTTCCAGGTGTTGGGTCAGGGCGTGGGTTGTAGGGTTCAGGATTTGGGGTTTAGGTGTTGTTTGGAGGGGGGTAATGGCACTTGCATGCTTTTCCAATACCTTGCAGGAACTCAAGGTTAATCCATGGAATGATACAGGATACATTAGCTGGTTGCTCGCGGAATACGATAGCTGGTTGCTCGCCACAGTAGAGTCTAAGCGAATCGCATGCCGGGCCGAGAGGTTCCAGCGAAGCTGGCATTCTTGTAAGAGTCCTGACCGCGACTGCTTTCCCCACCAAGCATACAGTAGAAGCCAGAAAGTTGGAACATGGCTTTAGGAGGATTAGTGCTAGGATCCCTTATACTTTACCTTTAGGGCATGAGGAGTCTAATGTTCCAACTTTTTGGCTTCTACTATAATAGGTCGAGGACACCTGAAGTTGGGACCAGATGTCTCGAAGACAGAACAGGTAATCATATCCGTCGCAATGGTGTTCATCAAATAGAGTGAACGGTCCCCGCCACGGAAGAACCATCTGCTTGGTCCGGGTATCTGCTCTGGTGATGTGGCGGCGGTGAGGAAACGGCATGTACGTCGGCGGATGCATAATGCACGGGTATGGCGAAGGTTAGCTGAAGCGGAGCACTCGTCGCCCAGTGTGGCACAGGCGGTGCCGGAGGAGGCACCCCCGAACTTGTTAACGGTTACATACCATACTACTACGTGTAGCAGCCATACTAATCCGACCAGGATTCTGGGGTATATACCTTGGCATGTAATACGGAAACTAAGAGCTCTAAACATCTAGTGAGGCTTGGATGTTAGGGTTTTCAAGGTGTTTGGGGTATTGATCGAAGCCTTTCGGATTGGCTTCGCAGGGTTCAAAGCCTATACGTGTTTTAAACTAGAGACTGCCTCCCCTACTTACGGTTAGGGTTTCGGATTTGCGATTGAATGGCAACTAGGGTCCAGCACTCGAACCACTGGGCGTGTGTGTGTGCTGCAAAGTAGAACTAGGGTAGGTACGCCAGTGTTTCATTCGCAATGACCAGACCCTGCGACAAAGGAGTTGACAAAATACCTGTATTGCACCGCAGTCCTTTCCAGTTATACGGCCTAATCTTCCCACATGTAAACGCTGCGAATTCAATAAGAATCGTAGTAGAAGCTCAAGCTACAACCAGCAGCACAAC